GAACGGGTGCTGCGACGGCGGCGGCGGCGGTGGCGGCGGCGGCGGCAGCGACAACGATGGCTGCAGCGGCGGCAGAGGCGGTGGAGGAGGGGACTGGGAAGGGGACGTCAGGGGAGGGGCGGCCGGCGAGGACTGCACAGGAGGGCCACCAGAGTCAGAAGACTCCCCAGCCGGGTCCACTGACGGAAGGGGGGTGACGTGGGACACACCAGAGGGGGCGGGACGGGGAGGAGGAGGAGGAGGGGCAGGGACTACCGGGGAAGGAGTGACCAGGAACAGGGGGGGGTAACCGGGGGACCACGGTGGGGGAAGCGACGGTAGTAGGAGACAGACTCGTCAAAGGTGACGTCACGAGAGTGAAAGAAGCGGTGAGACGGCGGGTGGTAAAAGTGCCAGTCGGACGCGTCAAGGGGAAAACCGAGGAAGACGCAGGGAAGGGTGCGGGCAGTGAGCTTGTCCGTGCCGGAGGTGAGCAAGGCAGCCCCAGACGTGGAACGCAGACGCGTCACCAGGAGACCCAGTCCAAAGACGGGTCGGCGAAACCTGCGACTGCTGAGGGTGCGGCCACAAGTTAAGCTGGTGAGAAGCGTAGCGCACAGCGAACGGCCACAGAAAATGGGGTGCACCGGCATGGATCATGGAGGTGCGAGCCACCTCCATGACCAAACCGATGCGTCGCTCAGCGACCCCATTCTGCTGTGGGGAGTCCGGTAGGGTGAACATCTGGGTGATGCCCTCCGCACGACAGAAGCGACCAAGGACACCTGAGGCAAACTCGCCACCACGGTCTGAGTGAAGACGCAGGACAGGGAGACCGCGGTGGACACGCGCAGAGACAAGCCAGGGGATGAGAGCGCCAGGCACGTCGGCCTTGCGCTCCAGGGGAAAGACTGTGGTGTAACGAGTGAAGTCGTCGACGAGCACAAGGAAGTAGCGCTCTCGACGCGGCCCAGGGACAGGGGTGGGGCCCCAGACGTCCAGGTGCAGGGTCTGCAGCGGCGCGGAGGTAGGGGGAAACGAGGAGGAGTGAGGGGCACGGCGAAGCCGACCCTCGACACAAGGCGTGCAAGGGGGGGCTGGGGAGGAGGGAAACGCGGGGAGAGAACCTGGGAGACCAAGGACAAGACCATGCTGGGACATGTGACGCAGACACGGGAGCGCAGGGTGACCTAGGCGGTGGTGCCAGAGGAGCGTCGGGTGAGTGAGGGACCGACAGGAGCAGGCAGCAGCAATCTGAGTAGACGCAGCCACCTGAGGGAGCTCCCCAGCCGGGGGGGTCACGGTGTCCAGAGTGAACAGGCCAGACACCGGGTCCCGGGGGAACGTGGACAGGGGGGCACCAGTGGCGGCCTCGGTACAGACAGCATACCGCTCGTGACCAGGGAACGTAGTGGTGACGCCAAGGTCCTGGAGGCAGCCGACACCAACTAGGTTCCTGGAGAACGAGGGGATATGCAGACCTGTAAGAGAGTCCGAAGGAACCGCCGGACAGGGAAGGGTGGTGGAATTGCGGGCGACTACCGGACCGCCGGAGGGGTCAGCAAGAGAGACGGCAGCAGGAACAGGAAGCGGCGTCAGGGTGGTGGAGTCGCGGAAGAAACACCGAGAAGCGCCAGAGTCCAAGGTGAAGGGAAGCGAAGCAGAGGCGGCTGGCGACGGAACGACGGCGGAAGCACCAAGACTACACAAAGCAGAGGATCCTACGCCTGACGCAGCAGGGGAGGCTACTCTAGGCACACCTACACTAGGCAACAATGAGTAATAAGCTGGAAGCACACTAGAGTCATCAGCATACATCACATGCAGAGCAGAAACAATGGCATCCATGTCCATATCAAAGATCTGAATCTGACGACTAAGCAAACTGTGCCAGTCCGGGAGGTCTGGCGACGGGCCGAAGCGCTGACGAAAGAGGTCGTCCAGGCGACGAAAACAGCGGGGAGTGGAGTGACCGATCTTACCGCAAACGAAGCCGCGGCGAGGACCGGTCTGGATCTGGTACTGACAGCGCCCGCCGCCAGAGCTACCACTCGACACACCACCACGTGCCCGGCCACCGCCAGCGCCAGGCCACCCGGGCGGGAGGACACTCGGCTGCCGTGTCTGCGACGGCTGCTGCGGCTGCGGCGAAGGCTGCGACTGCGGCGGCTGCTGCAACTGCAGGGGCGGTGGCTCAGCCGGACTGGGCAGGGTCCCCTCGTCCGCTCCAGCACCAGACGACCTGACCCCACCACTACCCCCTCCCGCACCCCCGCCTCCGCCGCGCCCAACCTTGGGGCGGCGGCCCTTCCCCGAACGAGACTGCGCTGCAGCAGCGGTCTCTGCCACTGCGACAGAGCCGTCGGAGAAGGTACACTGGGCGGGGGCACAACCCTGAAAGATAGGGACCGGCACGACACCGCTCGCCTGGGCGATGGAGCGGTGACGGGTCTCTATCACAGTCAGGGTGTCTACAAAGTCAGTGAGGGTGAGATCGGCGGGGTGAATGCTAAGGAAATGGTCGCGGGCGACAGCAAGGCGGTCAGGGAGGCGGGTGGCAAGCAGGTAGAGGGTAGAGGTAATGGGCGGCTGGTGGGCTCTAAGCTGTGCGTCAGTGCAGGCGGCGTGCCAGGTCTCCTCTATCGAGCGCAGGTGGGTAGCGAGGTCAGAGACCGTGGGGAAAGATGCAAGGTCAGGAAAGAGCATCGGGAGGATCAGGCGACCCACCGAGGCAGCCGGAGGGGTGGAATAGCGCTGGATCACAGCATCTAAGTATGCCTGAGCAGTAGTGAGGGACCTAAAGCGAGGACGCTCGGATGGGGGGAGGGCGTTGCTAATGGCAAGCTGGGCGACAGCATCGCGAGAAAGCCAGACAGAGCGCGCAGGGGCAGTGGCAGCAGTAGACTCACTCTCAGTGGATGTGGGGTCAGCGGGCAGAATAGCAGGGGGGTCTGGGCAGGGGAGCGTACCGTCAAGGTGTGCGGAAAGCGGTTCACCATCCTGCCGCTGGCCAGTGAGTTGGCGGCGGAGGTCGGCAAGCCATGCCTCGAACTCTAGGGGCTGACCTTCAGCGTCGAAGCGAAGCTCCGCCGCCATCAGGAACAGTCCAGTGCGGTGCAGGGCAGTGCAGCTAGGTGGGGTGCGGTGCAGTGCGGTACAGTGCGGTGCAGTGCGGTGCCAGGCAGTACAGTGTGAAGCGAGGCGGCACGGAGCAGGGCGGGGTGAGGGGGGAACCGTACCAGTGAGGAGGACGGGGCCGGGGCTGGCCCGACGGAGCCGGGCGGGCGCGATGGGGCCGGGCTGGTGCGACAGGGCCGGGACGGGGCGACGGGGCCGAGCGGGCGCGACGGGGCCGGGCTGGGGCGACGGGGCCGGGCGAGTGCGGCAGGGCCGGGCCGGTGTGACGGGGCCGGGCGAGCGGGACGGCGGCCGGGCGGGTGCGACGGGGCCGGGCGGCTGCGACGGGGCCGGGCAGGGTGCGACGGGGCCGGGCGGGTGCGACGGGGCCGGGCAGGGTGCGACGGGGCCAGGCGGCTACGACGGGGCCGGGCGGGCGCGACGGGGCCGGGCGGGTGCGACGGCGCCGGGCGGGCGCGACGGGGCCGGGCGGCTGCGACAGGGTCGGGCAGGGGCGACGAGACCGGGGGGGGGTACGACGCGGCCCAGGAGGGGCGCTACGGGGCCCAGGAGGGGCACGACGGGGGCCCAGGAGAGGCGCTACAAGGGCCCAGGAGGGGCGCAACGGGGCCCAGGAGGGGCGCTACGAAGCCCAGGGGGGGCGCGACGAGGCCCAGGAGGGGCGCTAAGGGGCCTAGGAGGGGCGCGACGGGGCCTGGGAGGGGCGCGACGGGGCCCAGGAGGGGCGCTACAGGGCCCAGGGAGGGCGCGACGGGGCCCAGGAGGGGCGCTACGGGGCCCAGAAGGGGCGCGACGGGGCCTGGGAGGAGCGCGACGGGGCCCATGAGGGGCGCTAGGGGGCCTGGGAGGGGCGCGACAGGGCCCAGTGAGGGGCGCGACGGGGCTAGGGGGGGTCGCGACTGGGCTAGGGGCTAGAGGGGTGAGCGGAAGCGATAGGTGGGGGGGGATTCTACCTACGCGTGATACCATATCAGAATTGAAAATTGAATGATAGATAGAGTGAGAGTACACAAAGATATACCTAAGTGTTGTACTCTCTAAGAGGCGACCCTTAACAGTCTATACAAACATGACAAATACACATGTTTGACATATGCTTGTTTCTTTTAATCAATCACTTGCTCTCACATACTAGTGCAAGGGTTCAACTACTGAACACTTCCGCTGCACTACTCAAGCATTTTGTACAAGTGGGACTTAGTCTCTGAAAAGGTCCTATGGCTTTTTCTCAGCCCAACACAACTTTTCATGGCACACCAATAGCTATTACCGTAAATTCCCGGATATATTACCCTAGGGTTTTTTTTCGTATACTACCTAAAAAGGGGGATGAGTCTTGTAAGGAACCATGAAAATAAATTACCCAGGTGTTTTCTCATACAAATATAGAATTCAAATTTCTTTATGTAGTTTTGTTACTCGTTTACATTCCTGACTCATTGTCGAGTACTCACGCCCAATCTCGCTCTTTTGTGCGCAAACATCAAGCTGTCGCTACATGTAGGAATCTGATTCGTTCACGTGAGCATTTGATATGGCGGGAAAACCCTTGGGAAACAGATTGGTAGCGATCCGATTCGTCACAGTATCGATCGACGGTCTGGATTTTGTCTCCAGATTCAACATTGTGAGGAAACTGTTGACTTCGTCTCGATTAGACAGAAATTTGCCACTTGGCGAATTTCCACCCCACCCCACGCTTCTGGGAGCGTTCAAGCCCTCTTTGCTCACCTTTCACAATGCTTTCTGGTTTCAATTCCGTGCTACTGTTTCCCTGCAGCCCCCTTTCTATTTCCTTCTTGCTCGCTTCCCGCCGTACTTAACATTTGCTGCGGAAATTACGGGGAAAAAATACGAAGAGGGTCTTAAGCCGACCACACTGAAAAGGGGAGGGTCTTGTTAGTCGATTACCATAATAAAGGACCTACCCGCCAAAAACACCCTATGGGTCCTCAATAAAACCGGTCTTATATCCGGGCGTTTACGGTAACCTTGGTACTCTAACTAATATAAGTTTTCCACATGAACAGTGGCTGTCAGTTAGTTTCAGTTTTATCATTATCAATATTCCCAAGTTGAACAGCAGCACTTCCGCCTGCAGGAGCAGACAGAACAAGCGGTGAGCATTCATAGGAATAGTTAAGAGCATTGGAGGGGATAAGAGAAGGGCAGCGGGAGGAATATCGCAGTGGAGCATTCACACATCCTGGTGAGACCCCTCACCAAAGATCAGTGCTGCTCCCATGTAGCCTGCGATCATCCACTCCTCCTGCAGGACCAATGAAGCCAGCAGCGCAGAGTAGAGCGGCTCCAGCGTGTACACCATCGCCACCTCGGACGCCGCAACGTGCCTGAGCGCAACAATCTGGAGCCAAACAGCAAGCAAGTAACGCGGAAGCTCGTTACAAGGTGGCCAATTCGGGAATTGCCGCTAGCGGACAAAACGGGGAAACCGAAAGGTGTCGGACAAACCTCAAGCCAGAGGCAGAGCGCGGTGGAGACCACCCCGGTGTATGCCATCTGGAGCCAGGGCCACGAGCCTGTCAACGAGGCCAGCCTGGTCAACGCATCAGCTGGTGACGCTGCAGTGATAAGCTCCTTGACCTGGGTGGCGAAGCCAGCCAGGGCGTCTGGGGGCAGAGCAGCAGGAGGAGGAAGAGCGAGGTCGGGTCCAGGCACTGCTATTGCTCCTTGTAGAGCGAGGGATGTGACTGTTGCGACTGCTGTGGCTGGTGCCCCTGCTGTGGCTGCAAGAGCGGTGCTGGCAGACTGAAGGTCTAGGAGGCTGGTGATGGCAGTGCCGACAGCAGCACAGCATGCCACTGTGAAGATCTGCCAGTACGAGGAGCATGGTACAAAGGCATGCAAAATTGTCTTGTCTCCTTAAACACAAGGGCATGTTTTTAGAAAGCACGAGTGTATGACAAGTCAAGAACGAGCCTTTGAAGATCCTCCATTTTCTCTCCCCTCTGCTCAATCCTTCAACACCCGCATCCCACATGCACCTCCCCTAAGAGCCACCTGCAAGGAGATGAGGTCCAGGCTTGCTGTGGGGGGCACCGTCTTGGCGAAGTGCTCGGATCGCACCATGAGCAGCCCAAACGCCACGGCGCTCACCAGCGCCAGACCATCGCCAACCTGACCAAGCGAAAGTGTGTGGATGGGATGAGGAGACAGAAAGGGCTCATTACTAGGGTCGAACTGCTCCGATCGCACCATGAGCAGAGAAAGGGGGGTCGTAACCAAGGAGGGTGAGCCCAGGGAGGGTGAGTGCAAGGGGGATGAGAGCCAGGGGGTGAGACCAAGGGGGGGCATGATGGGGGGAAGCAGGACGAGGAGATAGAAAGGGCGGGTGACCAAAGTTCAGGTGCACGAGACAGGGTTCAGCAATCAAAACGGGCGTGTTAGAGTGAGATCACTAGGACTGTCTGTTGTTCTCTGACGTGATTTGGGTTGACGCAGGGTGCTGAGTACCAGTGAACGCACCAGCGTCGCTACGTCTCAACTCCCTCAGAATTCTGAGAACGGGTGAACGCACCAGCGTGGACGCCTCTGAGTTGGCTTCGAGTAGGAGGACGCCAGCGACGGCGGATGCAGTGGCGGCCCACACCAGGGGAGGGATGCGCGCCCCCAAGAGACCCGCCACCAGAGGCACCTCGATCATCTGATCTAGCGCGCAACCACACAGAGGCCCAACCACACACCCGGCAAGCACGCAAGATGCAGTTCATGCAGCATACGAATCTCTTAGATACGGAATAAGGAGATCCACGGAATCGGGTGGCAACGGAAAGGCCAAGCGGCCCGCAGTGTTCAGGCACAACGGGAAAGAGAAGGCAAGTCCACGCAACCTCATTCTTCATTACCGTGAAGGTTCCAATGAAGGCCACGCGCCCAGCGCCAGTGGTGATAAGAGCGAATGCCTGCGAGAGGTACGCCAGAGCCGCCCAGAGGCCCATCTCCACGCCGCAGCGACGGACAGTGGGGTTGGCGAGGCTGGCAGGGAGCAGCGGCGAGAGCGCGAGGGCAGCGATGGCGAAGCGGCCCAAGCAGAACGGCAGAGGCCCTCCGGCGGCTTCTTCTGCTCCCTTGATCACTGTGCCGTTGCTGGCTGGAGGCAATACGGGTGAGGGACAGCATGGGACGGAAGAAAAGGAACTTCCTCGAAGGAGCATTGCAGGCAAGGTGGCGGTCTCGAACGGAAGGAACACTAACTGAAGAGGATGGGTGGAGACTAAACGATTATGGTTTTAGATCGTGAGGGCGACAGTGCGAAACGACTGGCCAGCTTACCATAGAGCATGGTGAGCGCGTTGAGAACGATGAGTCCGCCAGTGCGAGACGCAACGACCTTGGTGACGGTTTCAGCACCCCGCTCCATCAGCAAAGGCACCAAGTCCGCGAAAGACCGGCGAGGGTCATTCTCCCTCTCTGCTGGTTGCTTTTGAGTTGACTCAGACGCAACGACCTTGGCGACGGCCCCAGCATCCCGCTCCATCAGCAAATGCACCAAGTCCGTGAGAGACCGCGGAATAACCCCCACTTCTTGCGCTGCCGGATAGCCATTCAGGAGAAGCGGTTCCCTTGCTGGCCGCGAAGCTTCCTCGCTGACGTGGCAGTGAATACCTTTGGATCGTCTGGTGACACTCGTCCTGTTCTGGAAGCTTTTAAGGCGAGATTGGCGACTTGATGTTCGTCGGTGGGTGCTTCGTATTCTCGGTACGGACGCGTTATTCCGAAGTCCCTGCTGCACTCTAACGGTCCCTGATGTGTGGAGTAAACAATCGCAGTTTTGGACCTGGCGACCGGGTAACCGGTCAGTGACATGCGGCGGTTCTCGGAAGGACCTACTTAACTGTCCGCCTAGAAGCGAGGAGGACATAGTATCGAATTTCCGAGACGGCAGCGTGTGTCACTGGCAGGACCGCGGTATCATGTGCCACTGGCAGGACCGCGGTATCATGTGTCACTGGCAGGACCGCGGTATCATGTGTCACTGGCAGGACCGCGGTATCATGTGTCACTGGCAGGACCGCGGTATCATGTGCATCCTAAGCTGAGTCTAGCATCAACCTCCGGTGCTGAGCACACCACACCTAAAACGTTGGAATTTGCGTCTCGTAAATCGCCGTCACTCACACTCTGCTTTGAGCACTTGCGTCCAACTCGCCATGCACTAACGCTTCGTCCCGGCTCCCGAAAATTCACTGCCTCGCAAGAGGTATCTGGTTTCACAGAGCCTTTCTCCGATTAGCCGACTTCCCAGTCCTTTCTAGCTCGCTTCTGAATCTGCTGCTGCATCTCTCTCTTCGAGCTTGTCTTGTGGCTTTCTCCTCCTGCTGAATGCGCGGAATCCGTCGGTTTCATCCATGTCGTTCCTCGATTCAGTGAATCTGCTTCAGCTTGTCTGTCGCTCGTATTCATGTTGGCGTGTCGATTGCGGTTTACTAAGGTGCTTTGCGTTCAGGAGGGCTGAAATAAAAAACCAGAACGGTTGAGCAGGGTATTGAGCAGTGCAATATTTCTGCAGAACCGCTTTGCCTCTGGCAGGGCTGCGATACCAGCCATGTCAGTTCCCTCCTCAGGCTGTCAGATCATCGGGGTCGCGCCCCTTGGGATTGTCCACCTGGCAGCCCAGAGGGAACTCGCTGCGCGTCATTGTCGTGGGCAAATTTTATGAAATGACGCAGTGTACAGGAAGTCTGATGAGACATACTATTCGACTTTAACCAAAACAATGTGTTCATACCAAATGAGGTCATGGCTTCACGGTAGCAAGCACTATCACCCAGGTCTGGGTATATCAGCTTCGAATCTGACGGAAGCAACAGTGCTGAAATTTTTTACCATATATGCAATGCTATTTTCCTTATCACACATTTCAGTAATGCCGAGAGCAAAACATCCACATCAACAAGCAACATCAGTTATCCAGCACTTAATCTCTCCCTTGAAATCTCCTCTTCTCTTCCTTGGCTAACCTCTTGTACTCCCTCCGTTCATGCAATCTCGCATCCTTGTCCTGTGCCTGCTCCCGTATCTTCCTCAACTTAGCAGCGTCAGCCTCCAAGCCCCCCATTGAAAACATAGCCTCAAAGCTCCTCCCTGCACCACCCTTCACCCCCCTCACTTGCCCCAGCTCCCTGTCTCCCTCATCCACCCTAGAATTTTCCCGCTTCCTGCTGTCTCCTCCTCCTCCTTCCCTGTGCTTCTCATCTCTATACCCATCACTTTTACCAGCAGTTGCAGCGAGCTCTTTCTCGGCTCGTCGCCGTTCCTCTCGCCGAGCCTTCTTTCGAGCCAGTTTCTCCTCCCGAGCGTACCGCCTCTGCCGCTTCTTGCTCACCCGAACCTTGCCCTCACGCTCTGCCTCCCGCACACGCCTCCTCTCGTCCCTCTGCTTTGCACGCCTACCCTTTTTCCGATCCCCCTCCACTGTTGCCCCATCCGCTGCTGCCCCCGCTTTCCTCCTTGCTCCCTCTCCTCCCTCTTCCGATCCGTCCGAACCCGAATCCGAGCCCGATTCTGATTCTGAATCTGAATCTGAATCTGATGATGAGGAGGAACTGGACGAAGCATGCCGACCCTTTTTCCTCCTCTTGCTGCCCTCCTTCTCCCCTTTCTTGCTGCCCTTCCTTCTTTTACCTCCTTCCCCAACGCCCCCCCTTGCAAAACCTGCTTCCTCACCCCCTTTGCCACGCATGTTTTCCTCCTTTTCCGATTCATCACCGTTCCCACCACCCTGCCCCGTCGCTGCAGCCCTGGTACTGCTGCCTGTTACCTTATCCTCGCTATTGACTGCTCCAGCACCCTGTGCAGCGATCTTCTCCTCCAGCTGCTTCTTCATGCGAGCCACGCGCTCCTCATGCCCCGGCGCCCTGCAGGACGCAGCAGACAGCAATCAGTCTTTTGGAATGGCTTGTAATTTTGTGGGAAGCAACCAGCAGGAGTGGGGGATTGTGACAGTGAAGGATGCTGGCAGAAATGACATGAGGGGTGAGGTGTTGGCTAGCAGATAAAGAGGTGTCACGGATGGAAAGAGGAGCAGAGGGGGGAGGGGGGAGGAGGAAGGGGGGAGGGGGGGAGGTAAAACCAGAGGGGAATGCAGAGGGTGAGCAGCGACCAGCAAGACCATAACTGCTACCATCATCAGGTCACTTACGGCGCGAAGCCAAGTCCCTCAATCCTCTCTCCAGACGCATACTCCTGGGTGAGCACCTCGCCGCTCTGCCCCCTCCGGAACAGCTCCTCCACCTCGCCCTTCTCCATGCCACGTGTCTCCCCCAGCTTCGGCCCTTTCCTCCTGACAGGCGCTATCCCCAGCATCTCGTTCATCGCCGCCTCTTCCTCCTCCTTTATCCTCTGCTTTTCAAGCTTCAGCTGCTCCTCCGCTGCCGCTTGCGCCGCTGCCTTGTCCCCGGGCTTCCGCGCGTACCACTGTAGGTCCTTGCCTGGCGTGGTGGTGGTGGGGGGAGATGAGAGAGAGACTTGCACGTAGAGTACCACTTGGAGTCCTTGTTGTTTGGAATTACGGTGAGTAACAGAAGGGTTGGCAGGTGAGAAGCTAAAAAGGGAAACGAGGGGAGTTCTCGTATACCACTAAAGCCCGTGTCAGGAATGATGTTCGGAGTTGAGGAGGAATGGTGAACTGGCATACACGGTTTAGTAGGTTCAAGACTTACCTTGGTGTATCTAAAACCATGACCGATGTATGCATGAATTGGGCATGAGTGTTCTCCCAGAAAAAACGGATTCCCACAATCCTAGGGCAGCTGAACACAGCCCCTCCTTTCGGTCCGCCTGGATAAGCAGTCCACGATAAGCGATAAGTGATGATAAATGATGATCAGTGACGAGTACCTTTCTGCCAGCGGCCGACAGGCGCCATCACACTGTGGCCGAGGAAGTTCTCCCGAAACTTGTCGCTCTTCACGTCGTCCCATTTGAACTCTGTTGAGAGGCACGGGTGGAAGTTAAAATTAGCAGACTTCTAACACGGTTAGACATTCGGGGTTCGGTATAGGGTGGATGGTACGGGGTCGATTGTCGGCATAAGTGAAGTATTCGAGGGGCCTCATAAAAAGGAAATACCCCCAAAATACCCTTCCACGATTTAGGGTTGCGATCGCAGCGCGAATGAAGGCTTCAGAGGATATGGCATAGACGAGGGTAACGATCTGAGCGAAAAAGGCCCGACGACTCGAATTCCATTAGGAGACTCCGCGACGCAGAACCCTAATCTTCGGACTGGGCAACTGACTTACGATCTTTCCCTCCGCGAACACCGCCTCTGGTTGGATGAAACATTTCTGCAACCCTGATAGCCCGGAACACTCACGATGGCGACACGAGCGAATTGTGGGTAGGTACTATGATACGATTATCGCACATATATTAATAAGTAGAGGCTGGATCGTAAAGCATAGGCAGCAGGCATATAATAGTGGGGAGGGAGTTCTAGTCCCGTTTGCATGATGGCACAGGCCAGTGTGCTTGGAACTCATGTACGCGATATTGAAAGGTCTGGGTTCAGTGGTACATCTTCCCACTTTCGGAGTTCGTAAGTGCGTTACATTCTTCACAACACATCAGAGGCTACGATTTGCACACGTGAACGCCCACTTCCAACAACGGCTGAAGATGCAACTGTCAAAAGCATCGATGGCACAGAGGCCCTCGATTCGGACTGGATATTTGGTGGATGAGGCGTGGCTCAAAAGCGGCTGACCTGACACAACAGCGCCACGCAAGACAGCTCCGTCTCCACCTTGATGTGGTAACCCTATCCATCACGCATACGAAGTTCGCCTGTGGGTTAGCCATTTTCTGCACCTGCACTAGACTAACACGAGAACGATTTTTTTTGCTGATGGTAACCTAGTCGCCTTCGCGACTCTCATTGTGTCTTCCCTTCATCACTGGTCTGCAAGGCCACCTTCGCCACTGCCCTCCTCTTCCCTATCCCCTTCACTTGGCGCTAGGTTTCTGTTTGTGGTCCTCTCTCCTGAATTAGAACGCCTGTTACAGAAGCGCCATGGCTGCTGTGACCCATCAGGTAGGGCTAAACATTTACAGTGGGTAGTCTCACATACCCAGATTAGCGGGCTCGCGCGTTTTTCAAGTCGCCGTAATCCGTCTGCAGAAGCATTTTTACAACAACTTCGCATAACGCTCCATAGTTATCATTAGCTTGCTCGTAACGTCACGTTATTCTCATCAGTTCACCCTCACGTCCTCATTGCCTCGCAGGCGGCTCTCTCGGCGTCCGCGCCGAGGCTCGCGGTCTCTCGCGCTCAGCTCGGAGCTCCCAATCGGCTGGCCGCTTCCGCCTCGCCGATCCTCAGCCCATGGTGGCGAAGCCTCTCGCAATCCCTCACCGCCACAGGTACCTAGACCTTATCTAGCTCCGCTCTTCGTTAGTCGACTCCATATCCTAGTCCTCGTGCGAACTACGCTCAGGGTAGAATCGGTAGCGGCTCAGGGTTTATGAAGCTCCGGTCATCCTCGAATATTTATCTTTGACCTTCACGTTTCGATAGCCTTTTCCATGCCGTAGCCCTTCGCATACCTGTTTCCGGCTCGTCTTTCAGGGAAATCTCTAACTTAACCTACAAGTCTAAAGTCACGAAGTCCAATCCCAAACCCAATCTCAATGTCAATGTCATCCTGCAGCTCCAGCTGGCCCCAAGTTCCAGGCTGCCAGCCGCCTATCCGTGCGCGCCAAGGCCGCAGAGGCGGAGGAGGCTGTCGCCGAGGCTCCTGCTGAGGCTGTTGAGGAGGCCCCTGCCAAGGCCAAGCCCCCCCACATGAAGCACCTGATGAATGTGAGCGCTGAACCACGTGTGTGCCGGGTTGCACGGTCTGGTAGTCTTTGAATGGCAGGCTGTTTGACCTTGAGTGCGACCAGATGGTAATGATCGTGCACGCACGACCGTGTTTTGTCGCCATCGCGTTTGTATGTCCTCACCATGTTTCAGTGCGCTCTCTGTGTTCGATCGCGCGTTTCGTCTCGTGTCTGAATGCGTGGTGTGCTGCCTGGTGGTACCGTCTGCAGGTGTTGACGCAGGAAGCAGCGCAGACGCTTCGGAAGGAGCGCAACATTCCAGACTTCAGGCCTGGCGATGTCCTTGCTCTCCGCGTGGTAAGATATATTCATTCACTGGGGTTTTAAGACGCAGCGCTTCTGAGGAATCTGTTAGAGTAATCGAGATTCGTAGAGAACGCTTGACCGGAGCCTCGTAACCTCGCTTTAGTGGAATCGACGTTCTGATACAACAAGAGTTTGGAGTGTCGAGGTTGCACTGTGACTCACGGATTCCTATTTAGGTTCAGCAGCCTCGTTATTCCTCCATTGCTCAAAGCTTTAGCATCTCCTTCGTCTCCTTTTACAAGTGCCGCACTTCGCCTCACTTCCATGCACTCCCTTTCCGCCCTTTCTTCACCCGCCTTCCTGCCGTCTTTTAAACACCTGCCCCCTTTTCTCCTCCGCTTCCGTTTCCCCCAATCTCCTCTCTCTCCCTCCCCCCTCCCCCCCAACAGGAAGTGCCTGAGAACAAGAGGCGCGTGTCATTGGTGCGGGGGATCGTGATTTCCAGGCGCAATGGTGGCATCAACACCACCTTCCGCATCAGGAGGATGATGGCTGGCGTTGGTGTTGAGATGGTCTTTCCCCTGTGCGTATCCGTATGGTGTTTGAAGCATCACTTTTTAGGCCTTTAATAATCCCCTCGTTTTTTGCTTCCAGGCTCCACTAGTCTTTGTCTAAGCAATTCCATCGCATTGTGCTGCCCCCACTCATGCAGGTACTCTCCCAACATCAAAGAGATTAAGGTTGTTGACAGGAAAAAGGCGCGGCGGGCTAAGCTTTTCTACCTGCGTGACAAGCTTGCTCGTCTCTCCACATTCAACTAGTGCTTACCTGTAAAACAGCTTTGCAGCATTGATGTTTGAGCCTTGCCTGGAGTGTATCAAAGCTGCTTCAAGTTTCCTACCTCCAGTTGTGCGTTATGCCCTATATAGAGAAGTCAAATATGACAGGTTTCAGAAATGTGGGCCATCATGGTAAGGTTGTGGCCAATTTGATTTCCAACTGAAAATATCTTATGTTGACGCAACGTACAAAATTGGTTCGTAAGTGCGGGTGTACCATCGAAATTCGTGGTTCCTGGTGGGGTAGGCTTGAACTGCCACGTCTGAAAAATCCATCTTCTCCGGATTGGTGGCGAGTCATATTTCATCGGGTCTTGTCAGGCCCAGGGAAATTCTCTCTAGCTCTATGCGCTGCGAGAGTTACCGTGACTTTCGTCAGCCTCTCCCAGTCTGCATTAGTCAGGCACGAATTCGCCAGCAGAAATTCGCAGAATCTCCCAGGTACCTTTGCTAACAGCAGGCCCTCCTCGGCCACTCCTCAGATTTGTTTCTCCTCACATTGTCAGAGAGCACACGGGAACCCAATTCCGATCACAACGGCATTCTTTCACAGCTGAGGTTTGGTGAGCTCTCATTGGCCAGCACAGGGAGTTCGAATTCGTGCGATTCGATAATCTGGCGGGGTGACGGTTCCAGGGGTTAGATCTTCAGATCGACGGTCCAAATACACAGGGTCAACGTTCGCCACCCCAAATTTTGCGTTCCCGCTCTCGTAAACGGACGATTTATTGGACACGTCGGACAGATTTTTCAGTACATCCGCTGTCACGTGAACTTTGTAGCTGACAGAAGATTCCATCGCTCCTGAACCACACATTCACGTCACACGTCGGAAGCTTTAGACTTACGGCTGGGATTTCATCCAGAACCAACCTTCTGAAAGTATATCGTTTCTGAACCGTTAGATCCCAGACGAGGGTGAGCCAGTTTTCGAATGCTGGGCCATCCCGTGGGCCGTGAGCCCCTCGCCTCATTCTGGCCGATTCTCAGCCGTTTTCGACTCAATTTCTCTCCAGCCGAGCTCATTCTGCTCGTTTTCAGCCCAGTTTCTCCTCAGCCTCGTTCATTCTCCCACTTTCTGCTAGCGAAGCTCTTCAATTTCGGATTCGCTCGTCACCACTCTCCTCTCGCCGCCAAGTTACATTGATTGAATTGAGACGACCGTCAAGCTGCAACAAGATCGTGGCTAATCAGCGGTCTATTAAGCTGCACTCCACTCGACACCAATTCGCGGTCATCCGTTTCTCGGTAAGTTCTGCTGAAAATTCTGTCAACGCGTTAATGATAATCATTTCACCGTCGACTTTCAAAACACTCTCGCTCGACTAACTACTCATTCGTTGCCACTGTGCAGGTTCTCCTTCTTAATCGCTGCGTCTTCAATCTCTGGACTCATCTGAACGATTTTCGATCAGTCGACAAGCTGCATCAGAATCGTCGCCAATCTTCAGTCCAGCGGTTTTTCGTGAGTGCTTCATCAAGCGATTTCATTTCATCGTTTTTTTAATCATCTCAATGAACTAACCTTTGTTTCCTTGCAACTGTGCAGCTTTTATTTATTTATTTACGAGACTGTAGATGCTGGTTGTAGCGTCTGAACGTCAACGTTGTCCACTTCTACTGATTAAGTGTCTACTCCGCTGCATCAATTCTGCTGCATGGTAATCTTCTTGAAACACTTTCAGGGGGGGTGTCTATAGGCCGGCAAGCAGAGCGTCTCGAGTCAATTTTCATGCATCGAGTCATTATCTTTCTTTGCTGCTGCTGACCCCGTGCCCGTTCTGTGTTTGGTACTGTTGTGTTTGATGTGGGTGTGTGCTGATCGTTCATGGGCATCCAAGCCATCAAGGGGTGTGTGGGGGTGTGAGAGCGTGTGTGGTGGTCTCTGTCTGTGTGTGCAGTGGCGGCAAGGCGGCAGCAGCAGGAAGCAGCAGTGGTGGCAAGGCAGCAGTGGCGGCAAGGCAGCAGTGGCAGCACGCGTCAGTGGCAACAGTGGCTGCAGCCACAGCAGCCACTGCTCGGCATCGACTCAACAGTAGAGGGCGCGGAGTGAAGGTTTGTGTGGGGAAGGGTATGAGGGGGGTCGAGCTTAGAGAGTCTTAGCACCGCGCGGCTTGATCGAGTCCTTCGATTCTGCACACCAAGTCCATGTGTATCCCCCCGGTTTACTAACTGCTGCTCTTGTGTTCGTCTGTGTGTGTTGGCTGGTGCTGGTCGCATGGATTTCAAGCCATGGGTCCAACACAGTCAGGCAGGTCTATGGGAAAGCAGCAGTCGTCGCAGTGGGGGCCGGCAGCAGTGGTGGCAGCAGGCGCTGAGCGAACGACCATGACAGCACCTGCGGCGGCAGTGGTTCTGGCAAATCGCGCAGGAGAACAAGAACCGGTGGACGAAGCGTAGTCCACAGCAGCAGCGGCATCACCATCAGCGGCGCCAGCAGGAGTGGCAACAGCTGCAGTGGTAACGGCAGAGGTGGTTCCGATGGAGGTATGTCTTATTGGCGATTCTAATTGGTCCCTGTTTCCTGCTGCAGCCGCTATTGTGAGATCTTTCATGCCGTTTTCCCATTCAACGTTCACTCATCCACTCCCTTCCCCTTTCATCCCCATCCTCCGCTTGCAGGACATCTGGCAGCTGCTACAGGCAAGCAGCAGGGGAGGGAGGAAGGGCAGTGGACGAGTGGCAGGCAGCGAAAGAAAGGAGTGAAGCGGACAGACGCCTCTGAACAGAAGAAGGCTTAGTGTTCTCTTACCCCTGCACATCCCACGCTTTCAACTCCACCTGAGCATGGCGCGCATGCATCTCATGTGCTTGCGTGAATCATCCACCCAGCCCCATTACATGCATCTGCACGTAAAACCCATTGCTCGTTGCAGTTCAGTGCTCAGGGCACAGACCGGTCCTTATGAACCCCAGGTAACCCCCCCCCAGGTGAAGCCTTTAGAGCCTTTACTAGATACCCTACAGCCCCTCCCCCTTCTGGTCTGTGCCCTGTGCCCACTGCGGCTGCAGCAGTGGCCCCATATCCACCCACCAGCATGCCCGCCTCTCAAAACCCCCCTGTGCAATACCCCGCTGTTCTCTTTCACATTCCTGCAAGTCAGTCTGCTGCGATTTTCAGGTCCTGTCGCCAATCTGGCTCTGCATCCGCCACTGCCACTTAGCTCCTCGTCTCTCCCCTCCCTTCCCTTCCCTTCCTCCCTCCCCCCCTCCCCTCCCCTCCCTCCCAGGGGCTGAAGCGGAGACTGAGTGGCCAGCGAGGCAGCAGGAGCAGTGGTGGCAACTGAGGCAGCAGGAGCAGTGGCAACAGCAGCCCACGCAACTGGGACGGTTGCAGCCAAGGAACGAGTGCCACACACACTTCACCTGCCTCTGATCATCTCTGCACCAACCCTCCATACCACAGATAAGTACTCTACCCTCAAGGTTTTTGACCCACCCTCCCACCCGTTGTTGCTCTAGCTGGATTTCGTTCTGCTCTGTGCTTCTGTGTGCTTTGCTCGCCACTCGTATTCATGCGCCCATCACTGCTCTAGCTGCAAGGGGACGCACCCAGGGAATCAACCGCCCCCCCCTAGGTAACAGGTGGCAGGTTCGGCCTAAGGTACCAGGTGTGTAGGTATGGTACAAGGCGGAAGAGACCCTCGGGTGTGTCATCATTGCATCTAGTTCTCTCTGCCTCTCATCACGTTCTGTTGATTTCGCTTCTGCATCCGTCTTCCTTGCGCTGCACCTTGCTACCTGGCATTCACTTGGTCCTTCGTCTGCCTCCCCCTCCCCCCCCCCCCCCTTCCCCTCCCTCCCTGCTGGTCACTTGGCAGCACGGGAGAGCCATGGAGGGCTGTGGCAGCGGGCGAATCAAGGAGGCAGCCTTCTCTGCACCGACCCCTTCCAAAGCTAAGTACTCTAGTCTCAATGTTTACTCCAGCCCTCCACTTTCTGCAAGTCGTTGCTCTAGTTGCTTCTCGTTCTGCTCTGTCCTGCTGTGCTCTTCGCTCGCTGGTCGCGTTTTCATGCGCCCATCGCTGCTCTGGCTGCAAGGGAATACACCCAGGGAATCAACCACCTCCCCCCAGGTAACAGACGGCAGGTACCAGGTATGTGGGTATGGGATTCCTCCCCCAGGTAAACAGCCCACGGTGTGGTACAAGGTGGGAGATACCTTTGGGTTTGCCGCCATTGCAGCTAGTGCTCTCAGCCTTTCTTCCCTCCATCTGCTGGTTCTGCTGGTTCTGCTGGTTTTGCTGGTTTTGCTTCCCTGCACTCACTTCTTCCTTGTCTGCCTCCCCCTCCCTCCATCCAGGTCACCATGGCAGCATGGGGCGGCATGGAGGGCTGGCAGCGGATGAAGCAGAGAGGCAGCAGCACCTTCAGCAAAGGTTGATTATGGGATACATGTTGGCAAGAAACTGGTAAGCCCTTGCATTTCCGCATCGAATTCCGCTGGTTTTGCTTCTGCATCTCACCTTGCTTGCCTTCCCCGCACTCACTTGTTCCTTGTCCGCCCCCTCCTCTCCCCCTGCAGGTCCAATGGCAGCATGGGGCAGCAAGGAGGGGTGTGGCACCAGCACCTTCTGCAATGGTTGAGTATCGGATACATGTTGCCTAAGAATAGGTAAGCCCATTCTTGCCGCATCAGTTTCTGCTGGTTTTACTTCTGCATCTATTCCTCCTTGCACCTTGCCTCCCAGTCTTCACTTGTTCCTTGTCTGCCTCGCCCTTCCCCCCTGCAGGTGAAGCAGGAAGGCAGCAGCACCATCAGTACCGAAACGTGTTGGCCCAAGACAGGTACACCCGTGCTTTCCTCCATCAGTTTCAGCTAGTTTTGCTTCTGCATCTTTCTTCCTTGCTACTCGCTTCCCTGCACTCACTTGTTCCTTGTCTGCCTGCCCCTTCCTTTCTGCAGGTCACTTGGCAGCGATGGCAGCAGAAGTGACACCATCACTTGGCAACTCGGTTGGCTCCATGGCAACTCGTTTGGATCCATGGCAACCGTGTTGGCTCCATGGCAACCGTGTTGGCTCCATGGCAACCGTGTTGGCTCCATGGCAACTCGGTTGGCTCCATGGCAACCGTGTTGGCTCCATGGCAACCGTGTTGGCTCCATGGCAACTCGGTTGGCTCCATGGCAACCGGGTTGGCTCCATGGCAACTCGGTTGGCTCCATGGCAACTCGGTTGGCTCCATGGCAACTCGGTTGGCTCCATGGCAACCGAGTTGGCTCCATGGCAACTCGGTTGGCTCCATGGCAACTCGGTTGGCTCCATGGCAACCGAGTTGGCTCCATGGCAACCGTGTTGGCTCCATGGCAACCATGTTTGCTCTGTGGCAACTGTGTTGGCTCCATGGCAACCGTGTTGGCTCCATGGCAACCATATTTGCTCTGTAGCAACTGTGTTGGCTCCATGGCAACCGTGTTTGCTCTGTGGCAACTGTGTTGGCTCCATGGCAACCGTGTTGGCTCCATGGCAACCGTGTTGGCTCCATGGCAACCGTGTTGGCTCCATGGCAACTCGGTTGGCTCCATGGCAACTCGGTTGGCTCCATGGCAACCGTGTTGGCTCCATGGCAACCGAGTTGGCTCCATGGCAACTCGGTTGGCTCCATGGCAACTCGGTTGGCTCCATGGCAACCGTGTTGGCTCCATGGCAACCATGTTTGCTCTGTGGCAACTGTGTTGGCTCCATGGCAACCGTGTTGGCTCCATGGCAACCATGTTTGCTCTGTAGCAACTGTGTTGGCTCCATGGCAACCGTGTTTCCTCTGTGGCAACTGTGTTGGCTCCATGGCAACCGTGTTGGCTCCATGGCAACTCGGTTGGCTCCATGGCAACTCGGTTGGCTCCATGGCAACCGTGTTGGCTCCATGGCAACCAGATTGGCTCCATGGCAACCGGATTGGCTCCATGGCAACCGGATTGGCTCCATGGCAACCGGATTGGCTCCATGGCAACTGGGCCGGCTCCATGGCAACCGGGTTGGCCCCATGGCAACCGTGTTGGCTCCATGGCAACCGTGTTGGCTCCATGGCAACCGTGTTGGCTCCATGGCAACCGGATTGGCTCCGTGGCAACCGGGTTGGCTCCGTGGCAACCGGGTTGGCTCCATGGCAACCGGATTGGCTCCGTGGCAACCTTGTTGGCTCCCTGGAAACCGTGTTGGCTCCATGGCAACCGTGTTGGCTCCATGGCAACCGTGTTGGGTCCATGGCAACCGTGTTGGCTCCGTGGCAACCTTGTCGGCTCCCTGGCAACCGTTTGGGCTCCATGGCAACTCGGTTGGCTCCATGGCAACCGGGTCGGCCCCATGGCAACCGGTTTGGCTCCATGGCAACCGTGTTGGCTCCATGGCAACCGTGTTGGCTCCATGGCAACCGTGTTGGCTCCATGGCAACCGTGTTGGCCCCATGGAAACCGAGTTGGCTCCATGGCAACTCGGTTGGCTCCATGGCAACCGTGTTGGCTCCATGGCAACTCGGTTGGCTCCATGGCAACTCGGTTGGCTCCATGGCAACTCGGTTGGCTCCATGGCAACCGGATTGGCTCCATGGCAACCGGATTGGTTCCATGGCAACCGGATTGGCTCCGTGGCAACCGGGTTGGCTCTGTGGCAACCGGATTGGCTCCATGGCAACCGTGTTGGCTCCATGGCAACCGTGTTGGCTCCGTGGCAACCTTGTCGGCTCCCTGGCAACCGTTTTGGCTCCATGGCAATTCGGTTGGCTCCATGGCAACCGTGTTGGCTCCATGGCAACCGGGTTGGCCCCATGGCAACCGGGTTGGCTCCATGGCAACCGTGTTGGCCCCGTGGCAACCGAGTTGGCTCCATGGCAACCGTGTTGGCTCCATGGCAACCGTGTTGGGTCCGTGGCAATCGTGTTGGCTCCATGGCAACCGGATGGGCTCCATGGCAACCGGATTGGCTCCATGGCAACCGGATTGGCTCCATGGCAACCGGGCTGACTCCATGGCGACCGGGTTGGCTCCATGGCAACCGTGTTGGCTCCATGGCAACCGTGTTGGCTCCATGGCAACTCGGTTGGCTCCATGGCAACCGTGTTGGCTCCATGGCAACGTTTGGCTCCATGGCAAATCGGTCGACTCCATGGCATCCGCGTTGGCTCCATGGCAACCCGATTGGCTCCATGGCACCTCGGTCGGCTCCATGGCAAATCGGTTGGCTCCATGGCAACTCGGTTGGCTTCAGCAGTGTCTGCATAGCCACCAACGTACGCCATATATTTGGTTCCAGCTAAGTTACGCCGCTCTCAGGTCCCCATTCTCTCACTATCCTCTAGCCCTCCCTTGCACTGTCAGTTTTTCTTGTCCGCTTTTGCATGTCTGTTCTTCTGATTTCTGTCCTCCCAGAAATCAGGGACTTCTGATTCTGTTGTTGAGTTCCCAGCTGTCTTCTTGCATCCCTTGGCAGTGCCGCTACTTTTTCCCCCCCTCCTTCCACCCTTCAACCCCCATGGTTCCCCTTGCAGGTCATCACACAGCAGCTGCACGCATTCAAGACAACGACTGCCAGCAGCAGCAGTAGCAGCAGCAGCAGCAGCAGTAGCAGCAGCAGCAGCAGCAGCAGAGGGCAGGATAGTTAGCTAGGGGATAGGGTGAGGTAAGGCAAGGTAAGATATCTGGTACGGTGAGGTTCAGGTTGGGTATAGGTTCGGTCTGGTGTGTGCTTGGTTAATCATGGTTCTCCTCTTCCCTCTCTTGTCTGCAGCTTGACGTGCTGGATCCTTGGAGCAAGAGCAAGGCGAGGAGAACGGGCAGCAGTCTGTCTCATCCCCCCCTCTCCCCTGCTTCCTTCCCCCCTCCCAGAAATCAGGGAATCGGAGTAGGACTGGCAGCTAGTATGGAGTTCCCCAGTAACCACCCCCCCTCCCTTCCCAGCAGCTGCAACTGCAATCACTAAGGTGCTCTGCTCGACTCTGGTAGGTAGAGGTAAGAATGTGTGGAGGTACAGGGAGGCGGGTAGGGGGGGGGGAAGCATGGGAGCAAGCATGCAGCTCACTTCCCTAGGGGCAGCACCCGTGGTGGTTTGTGTCCTTGTGGGTGGGGGTGTGGCTGGGGAACTAGCGCGGCGACGGCAGTCGGTGCTCAAGTAACGAACCTGCGCGTTAAAGCACAATAGGCCCTGTCAGAGCCGTGCCGGCCGTCTCTGATTCGGGCAAGCTCATGCTACGCCAGGGGGTGGATTTGAGTCTTGGGCCAGTTCGCGCTTTTCCCCTTGCCACACCTCACTGCGAGGCAGAGCCACTCTGGGTGTTGTTTCCGAAAGGGAGTGGGTTGCGTGCTGCTCCTTCTGCTAGCAAGGTGGTTCGGGGGGTAAAGTGGGAGGTGGTGGTGGTGGTGGTGGTGGTTGGGGAATGGTGAGATAGGGTGGGATGGGGAAGGTTTGGTGAGATAGGCTGGCTTTGGGAGGGATGGGTGAGATAGGGTGGTATGCGGAAGGGTGGTTAAGATAGGGTGGTATGGGGAAGAAAGGGTAAAACAGGGTCGTATGGGGAAGGGTTTCGAGATAGGGTGGTATGGGAAGGGATGGATGAGATAGGGTGGTATGGGGAGGGATAGATGAGATAGGGTGGTATGGGGAGGGATGGGTGAGATAGGGTGGTATGGGGAAGGGTTTCTGAGATAGGGTGGTTTTGGGAGGGATGGGTGAGATAGGGTGGTATGGGGAAGAACGGGTCAAATAGTGTGGTCTGGGGAAGAAAGGGTAAACCAGGGTCGTATGGGGAAGGATTTCGAGATAGGGTGGTATGGGAAGGGATGGATGAGATAGGGTGGTATGGGAAGGGATGGATGAGATAGGGTGGTATGGGAAGGGATGGATGAGATAGGGTGGTATGGGGAGGGATGGATGAGATAGGGTGGTATGGGTAGGGATGGATGAGATAGGGTGGTATGGGGAGGGATGGATGAGATAGGGTGGTATGGGGGGGGATGGATGAGATAGGGTGGTATGGGGAGGGATGGATGAGATAGGGTGGTATGGGGAGGGATGGATGAGATAGGGTGGTATGGGAAGGGATGGATGAGATAGGGTGGTATGGGGAGGGATGGATGAGATAGGGTGGTATGGGGAGGGATGGATGAGATAGGGTGGTATGGGGAGGGATGGATGAGATAGGGTGGTATGGGAAGGGATGGATGAGATAGGGTGGTATGGGAAGGGATGGATGAGATAGGGTGGGATGGGGAGGGATGGATGACATAGGGTGGTATGGGAAGGGATGGATGAGATAGGGTGTTATGGGGAGGGATGGATGAGATAGGGTGGTATGGGGAGGGATGGATGAGATAGGGTGGTATGGGAAGGATGGATGAGATAGGGGGGGGGGGGGATGAGATAGGGTGGTATGGGAAGGGATGGATGAGATAGGGTGGTATGGGGAGGGATGGATGAGATAGGGTGGTATGGGGAGGGATGGATGAGATAGGGTGGTATGGGAAGGGATGGATGAGATAGGGTGGTATGGGAAGGGATGGATGAGATAGGGTGGGATGGGGAGGGATGGATGACATAGGGTGGTATGGGAAGGGATGGATGAGATTGGGTGGTATGGGAAGGGATGGATGAGATAGGGTGGTATGGGAAGGGATGGATGAGATTGGGTGGTATGGGAAGGGATGGATGAGATTGGGTGGTATGGGAAGGGATGGATGAGATTGGGTGGTATGGGGAGGGATGGATGAGATAGGGTGGTATGGGAAGGGATGGATGAGATAGGGTGGTATGGGAAGGGATGGATGAGATAGGGTGGTATGGGAAGGGATGGATGAGATAGGGTGGTATGGGGAAGAGTGGGTAAGTTAGGGTGGTCTGGGGAAGAACGGGTGAGATATGGTGGTATGGGAAGGGATGGATGAGATAGGGTGGTATGGGAAGGGATGGATGAGATAGGGTGGTATGGGAAGGGATGGATGAGATAGGGTGGGATGGGAAGGGATGGATGAGATAGTGTGGTATGGGAAGGGATGGATGAGATAGGGTGGTATGGGAAGGGATGGATGAGATAGGGAGGTATGGGGAGGGATGGATGAGATAGGGTGGTATGGGAAGGGATGGATGAGATAGGGTGGTATGGGAAGGGATGGATGAGATAGGGTGGGATGGGGAGGGATGGATGACATAGGGTGGTATGGGAAGGGATGGATGAGATAGGGTGGTATGGGAAGGGATGGATGAGATTGGGTGGTATGGGAAGGGATGGATGAGATAGGGTGGTATGGGGAGGGATGGATGAGATAGGGTGGTATGGGGAGGGATGGATGAGATAGGGTGGTATGGGAAGGGATGGATGAGATAGGGTGGTATGGGAAGGGATGGATGAGATAGGGTGGTATGGGGAAGAACGGGTAAAACAGGGTCGTATGGGGAAGGGTTTCGAGATAGGGTGGTATGGGTGGTATGGTGAGGTAGGGTGATATGGGGAGGGATGGGTGAGATAGGGTGGTATGGGGAAGGGTTGGTGAGACAGGCTGGTATGGGGAGGGATGGGTGAGATAGGGTGGTATGGGGAAGGGTTGGTGACACAGGGTGGTTTTGGGAGGGTAGGGTGAGATAGGGTGGGATGGGGAAGAAAGGGTGAAATAAGGTGGTATGGGGAAGGGTTGGTGAGATAGGATGGTGTGGGGAAGAGTGGTTGAGTTTGGGTGGTATGGGAAAGAATTGGTGAGACTGGGTGGTATGGGGAAGGGTTGGTGAGATAGGGTGGTATGGGGAGGGATGGGTGAGATAGGGTGGTATGGGGAGGGATGGGTGAGATAGGGTGGTATGGGGAGGGATGGGTGAGATAGGGTGGTATGGGGAGGGATGGGTGAGATAGGGTGGTATGGGGAGGGATGGGTGAGATAGGGTGGTATGGCGAAGGGTTGGTGAGAACAACGGGTGAGTTAGGGTGGTGTGGAAAAGAATGGGTGAGATAGGGTGGTTTGGGGGGGGTGGGTGAGATAGGGTGTATGGGGAAGAAAGGGTGAGATAGGGTGGTATGGGAAGGGATGGATGAGATTGGGTGGTATGGGAAGGGATGGATGAGATAGGGTGGTATGGGGAGGGATGGATGAGATAGGGTGGTATGGGGAGGGATGGATGAGATAGGTTGGTATGGGAAGGGATGGATGAGATAGGGTGGTATGGGAAGGGATGGATGAGATAGGGTGGTATGGGGAAGAACGGGTAAAACAGGGTCGTATGGGGAAGGGTTTCGAGATAGGGTGGTATGGGTGGTATGGTGAGGTAGGGTGATATGGGGAGGGATGGGTGAGATAGGGTGGTATGGGGAAGGGTTGGTGAGACAGGCTGGTATGGGGAGGGATGGGTGAGATAGGGTGGTATGGGGAAGGGTTGGTGAGACAGGGTGGTTTTGGGAGGGTAGGGTGAGATAGGGTGGGATGGGGAAGAAAGGGTGAAATAAGGTGGTATGGGGAAGGGTTGGTGAGATAGGATGGTGTGGGGAAGAGTGGTTGAGTTTGGGTGGTATGGGAAAGAATTGGTGAGACTGGGTGGTATGGGGAAGGGTTGGTGAGATAGGGTGGTATGGGGAGGGATGGGTGAGATAGGGTGGTATGGGGAGGGATGGGTGAGATAGGGTGGTATGGGGAGGGATGGGTGAGATAGGGTGGTATGGGGAGGGATGGGTGAGATAGGGTGGTATGGGGAGGGATGGGTGAGATAGGGTGGTATGGCGAAGGGTTGGTGAGAACAACGGGTGAGTTAGGGTGGTGTGGAAAAGAATGGGTGAGATAGGGTGGTTTGGGGGGGGTGGGTGAGATAGGGTGTATGGGGAAGAAAGGGTGAGATAGGGTGGTATGGGAAGGGATGGATGAGATAGGGTGGTATGGGAAGGGATGGATGAGATAGGGTGATGTGGGAAGGGATGGATGAGATAGGGTGGTATGGGAAGGGATGCATGAGATAGGGTGGTATGGGGAGGGATGGATGAGATAGGGTGGTATGGTTAGGGATGGATGAGATAGGGTGGTATGGGGAGGGATGGATGAGATAGGGTGGTATGGGGAGGGATGGATGAGATAGGGTGGTATGGGGAGGGATGGATGAGATAGGGTGGTATGGGGAGGGATGGATGAGATAGGGTGGTATGGGAAGGGATGGATGAGATAGGGTGGTATGGGGAGGGATGGATGAGATAGGGTGGTATGGGGAGGGATGGTTGAGATAGGGTGGTATGGGGAGGGATGGATGAGATAGGGTGGTATGGGGAGGGATGGATGAGATAGGGTGGTATGGGAAGGGATGGATGAGATTGGGTGGTATGGGAAGGGATGGATGAGTTAGAGAGGTATTGGGACGGGTTGGTGAGATGGGCTGGTTTTGGGAGGGATGGATGAGATAGGGTGGGATGGGGAAGAACGGGTAAAACAGGGTCGTATGGGGAAGGGTTTCGAGATAGGGTGGTATGGGTGGTATGGTGAGGTAGGGTGGTATGGGGAGGGATGGGTGAGAGAGGGTGGTATGGGGAAGGGTTGGTGAGACAGTACAGAGAGTTCCAAGGCGTGGATTGTGCAACCTAGAATTGCGCAACCAGTTGCGCGCGGTGTTGGCGACTTTCTTGCCTGGATAAAAGTTTGCTAACAAACTTCGTGATCTTTGCGAAACCCGTAACCATGCTGTATTGCGCAGCTCAGTCGGATTGCGCAACCCTAGACTCCACGCCCTCAGCCACACCTGTTTGTGTCGCAATTTGCGGGCAGGTTGATGCAAATTTTGTTGTAGCAATATCGCGCGTTGCACAACAACTGTACTAAATGTTAAGCGGCGCAACGGCCGAAACAGTCCCTTCAATAACACATGGTCGGTTGCCAGTACCACGGAAACGATTCCGCATGGGGCGAGCCAACCATGAAGGGCGATGTGTCACGTCGCAAGGTGTGTTGGCACGTCAATTCCTAAACTTTGGGAGTCGCCCAAACAGACTTCACGCTTATTGGGTAACCCATCCCAATGTGCAACGTAAACTGCACGCATATGGAATGGCGGGGCTTCGCAATTGGTTTCATTACACGAACCTGTATGGAGATTGAACAGGTGTCAAATGATCCCGTTGCCGAAACTTCCCGCTTACAAATTTGACGATTGGAATGCCAGTGGAATTTGTGCCGTGTGGAATGCGCAGCGAGAAGAATGCGGCTCGCAAAAATTCAACCCACCGTCACGACCATGCAGAATTCCTCCCGACACTCCAGAGAGGCAATTTCAGCTCCAAAGAGCACATATTTGGGTTCCCCGCTTATCCTACCATTCACACACTCCAAATCTCCTCCCGGATGCTTACAGATTATGAACCATTACTTCCGAAGTATTGACGCCAGCCTCATCTTCCGCCTCCAGCCTCGTCTAGCATTTTCTTTGTAGCCATGGCTTCTACCACCTTGCAGTCTACGCTAGGTGGTGTTAGTGCACCACGTCCTTCAACAAGCGTGCCTACCACTAGTCGTTTTACGGCCGTCCCTACTGCCCTTAATGCCAACCGTCCTGTTGATGCTGACTCCAACATGCCGCCGTTCAAGAAAGCCAAGAAGCGGACCTCCCTCATGTGGATGTTTTTTGAGAAGATGGAAGGGACGGAGAAGGCACGGTGCATGCTTTGTTCGAACAAGGGGTCGAACGTGACCATCTCGTGCAATGGCGGCTGCACCACCGCAATGAAGAACCATGTTACGAGTCACCACGCACCTCAATATACAACAATCACTGGTGAGGATGTGGGAGCTGGTGGTAACCAAGACATTGGGAAGGCGATTCGTGGGAACACCATGACACGGACAAGGAGAATAGGAGGCGTTTGGTGAGGGTGATTCTCAAGGGGATTCTCTCCTTTAGGGCTCTCACTTGCCCCGAGTTGTTGGCATACTTGCAGTGGCTTGAACCGAAGGTAACCATCCCTTGTCGGGTTACGATTGCAAGTGACATTCACACAGCTTACAACGAGCGGGTGGTGTTGATGAGGATGCGTTTGCAAGGTTTGCCATCAAAGGTATCCTTCACGCGTGATATTTGGACGGCGCCCAATTTGGATGCCTACATGGCTATCACGGCGCATTGGCTTGATGAGCGCTTTAACAACAAGAGCATCTTGTTGGACTTCATCAATCTCAAGTTCCACCACACGGGTGAGGCCATCAAGAACGCGTTCGTGCGAGCGGTCTTTGATGAGTGGGGTCTTGAGAGCAAGTTCATGGCCATCACCATGGACAATGCCTCCACCAATGAGAAGATGGTGAAACTTCTCGTCAAGGATCACGACTTTTCCTTTGGAAGGTACATAAGGTGCTTTGCTCATGTCATCCAACTTGTGGTGGAATGCATCTTGAAATCACCTAAGGTGGATGGTGCACTCACCAAGGTCCGTGGGCTTGCAACCCACCTTAGTGGGTCAAGCTTGAGGCATGATAAGTTTGAGGTACATTGCATTGAGAAGGTGCAAGGGCATAAGACCTCACTTGCTCATGACACCCCAACGAGGTGGGGAAGTGCCCATGCTATGGTGGTAAGGGCACGGGAGTTGAAGGCGGCCATTAACTCCTACTTGGTGGCCGAGGTGGAGGAGGAGGTATTTGAGGAGCTCCGAATGAGGGATGACGAATGGAGCACCCTCTTCGTTCTTGAGAAACTTCTCGCTCCGTTTGCCGGAGTGCAACGGATTTTGGAGGGGTCTAGGTACCCAACAACTTCCTTGTGTGTTCCATTGGTGAACTCACTCATGGATTTGTTGGAAGCCCAGGTGGCCGCCAGGGGCGAGTTTTGGGAGCCATGCAAGAATGCTCACGCCAAACTGAAGAACTACTACAACCGGACTTCGGAGGACTACACTATTGCAACCCTTTTGGACCCTAGGTTCAACCTAGGGTACTATGCTTTGGGTGCAATGGAGGGGGGCGCTCATCATGCGGCAACCTCCGTGGTGAAAGCCACAATTACCGAGGCTTACGCCAAGTACGAGGAGGTGGCGCCGCATGAGGAAGTCATGGGCGAGAGTTCAAGCCCTCTTGGAGGGGAAACGGTGGAGGGAGGGAGTGGGCAATCAACGATCTTTGGCGGCATCTTCTCAGTCCGTGGGAGGGGGGAGTCAAGTGGAGAGAATCAACTCTCTAAGTACCTAGACGAGGAGAGGGTCACCGTGGAAAATGAGAAGTCGGTTGCTACATTCAAGGATTGGTGGCGTCTCCATTGCCATCACTACCCGAACGTTGCAAGGATGGCTCGTGATTACTTGGCGATTCCGGGAACGTCTGCCGACTCCGAGCGCTCATTTTCCATTGCACGGCATTTGTTCACGGATTTCAGGCATAGTTTGAAGCCCGAAACTGCTCGGGCGTGCTTATGCTTGCGGTCTTGGAACGCTTTGGAGGATGAAGAGACTTCCACCAAGGGGAAGTAATTCAGATGCTGGAAAGCCTCAACTGAGCAGAGGTAGTTAGAGTTCTATGGAGCTGAGATTGTCTTGTGCTATGTGTGTTAGAGCCTTTGCCTCTCTATTCAACCACCACCTTGTTATGCAATGTCATGCTATAATAATAAATCGCGCTCCATGTTTTCAACTTGGGATGTGAAAAAAGGGTATAGGCCAGGGTTTCGACTCGCTGGTGTGGGGAGTGAGTAAATACTTATCTGGTATTGACTCGTCCGTGTGGGGAGTGAGTAAATACTTCTCTGGTTTCGACAAGTTGGTAAATTCGTCCCACTGGTTAACCTTGATTTATACCAGCATACCCCTATAAAAACACAATTTTTTTGTGACCACCATACCACTCGAATACATTCGCATTCGGACGGTATTCGGCACCATTCGGATGGTATTCGTATTCGTGAAGGACCTACCATTCGATCAAATACCAAAACACCAAATATTCGGCTAATATTCGGTTACAACATTCGTATTCGTATTCGTACTCGAATTTACACCCTTAGATAGGGTGGTATGGGGAGGGATGGATGAGATAGGGTGGTATGGGAAGGGATGGATGAGATAGGGTGGTATGGGGAGGGATGGATGAGATAGGGTGGTATGGGGAGGGATGGATGAGATAGGGTGGTATGGGGATGGATGGATGAGATAGGGTGGTATGGGGAGGGATGGATGACATAGGGTGGTATGGGAAGGGATGGATGAGATTGGGTGGTATGGGAAGGGATGGATGAGTTAGAGAGGTATTGGGACGGGTTGGTGAGATGGGCTGGTTTTGGGAGGGATGGATGAGATAGGGTGGGATGGGGAAGAACGGGTAAAACAGGGTCGTATGGGGAAGGGTTTCGAGATAGGGTGGTATGGGTGGTATGGTGAGGTAGGGTGATATGGGGAGGGATGGGTGAGATAGGGTGGTATGGGGAAGGGTTGGTGAGACAGGGTGGTATGGGGAGGGATGGGTGAGATAGGGTGGTATGGGGAAGGGTTGGTGAGACAGGGTGGTTTTGGGAGGGTAGGGTGAGATAGGGTGGGATGGGGAAGAAAGGGTGAAATAAGGTGGTATGGGGAAGGGTTGGTGAGATAGGATGGTGTGGGGAAGAGTGGTTGAGTTAGGGTGGTATGGGAAAGAATTGGTGAGATAGGGTGGTATGGGAAAGGGTTGGTGAGATAGGGTGGTATGGGGAGGGATGGGTGAGATAGGGTGGTATTGGGAGGGATGGGTGAGATAGGGTGGTATGGGGAGGGATGGGTGAGATAGGGTGGTATGGGGAGGGATGGGTGAGATAGGGTGGTATGGCGAAGGGTTGGTGAGAACAACGGGTGAGTTAGGGTGGTGTGGAAAAGAATGGGTGAGATAGGGTGGTTTGGGGGGGGTGGGTGAGATAGGGTGTATGGGGAAGAAAGGGTGAGATACGGTGGTATGGGGAGGAGTGGGTGAGTGTGGGGAAGAATGGGTGAGAAAGGGATGGGTGACATAGGGTGGTATGGCGAAGGGCTCGTGAGATGGGCTGGTTTTGGGAAGGATGGTTGAAATGAGGTGATAAAGGTAAGGGTTGGAGAGGTAGGGTGGTATTTGGAGAAAAGGGTTTAGTACGGAAGCCTGGTATGTGGAAGGAAGGGCAAAATAGGGTGGTATGGTATGGGGAGGGATGGGTCATATAGGTTGGTATGGGGAAAAATGTTTGAAATTGGGTGACATAGTGAAGAAAGGACGAGATAGGGTGGGATGGGGAAGAAAGGGTGAGATTCGGTGGTATGCTGAAGGGTTGGTGAGGTAGGGTGGCATGGGGAAGAAAGGGTTGAGTAGGGAAGGCTGGTGATGGGAAGGAAGGGTGAACTAGGGTGGTATGGGGTAGGGTGGGTCAGACAGGATGGTGTAGAATGAGTCTGCTTGACTGAATGCATGTGGTGCATCTCTGCATGAATTCGTGCATGTCTGAATGCTTGTGTGCATGTCTGCTTGTATGTGTGCATGTCTGAATGCATGTGTGCATGTCTGAATGCATGTGTACATGTCTGAATGCATGTGTGCATTTCTGCATGCATGTGCACAGGTTTGTGCGCCGCTTCTGAAGTCCTCAAGTTTGTGTGTGTGCCGGGAGGAAATACGCCACATGCACGAATGTGTGCCTACACGTGTGCACGCATGTTTGCATGCGTTTTTGTACGAAGGCAGTGAGATTAGGGCTATCTTGAGTACCCTGACTGTTGTATTGATAGTAGGCCAGGAAAATGACCTTCACTGTGTGATAATGTAGGCAGAGAACCCCAATGGTGGGTGTGATGGGTGAGATGAGATAGGGTGGTATGGTGAAGAATGGGTGAGATAGGGTGGTATGGGGAAGAATGGTTGAGATAGGGTGGTATGGGGAAGAATGGTTGAGATAGGGTGGTATGGGGAAGCATGCGTGAGATAGGGAGGTATGGGGAAGAATGGGTGAGATAGGGTGGTATGGGGAAGAATGGGTGAGATAGGGAGGTATGGGGAAGAATGGTTGAGATAGGGTGGTATGGCGAAGAATGGGTGAGATGAGATAGGGTGGTATGGTGAAGAATGGGTGAGATAGGGTGGTATGTGGAAGAATGGGTGAATAGGGTGGTATGTGGAAGAATGGGTGAGATAGGGAGGTATGGGGAAGAATGGGTGAGAAAAGGAGGTATGGGGAAGAATGGGTGAGATAGGGTGGTATGGGGAAGAATGCGTGAGATAGGGAGGTATGGCGAAGAATGGGTGAGGTATGGTGGTATGTGGAAGAATGGGTGAGATAGGGTGGTATGGGGAAGAATGGGTGAGATAGGATGGTATGGGGAAGAATGGGTGAGATAGGGTGGTATGGGGAAGAATGGTTGAGATAGGGTGGTATGGGGAAGAATGGTTGAGATAGGGTGGTATGGGGAAGCATGGGTGAGATAGGGAGGTATGGGGAAGAATGGGTGAGATAGGGTGGTATGGGGAAGAATGGGTGAGATAGGGAGGTATGGGGAAGAATGGGTGAGATAGGGTGGTATGTGGAAGAATGGGTGAGATAGGGAGCTATGGGGAAGAATGGGTGAGAAAAGGAGGTATGGGGAAGAATGGGTGAGATAGGGTGGTATGGGGAAGAATGCGTGAGATAGGGAGGTATGGGGAAGAATGGGTGAGGTAGGGTGGTATGTGGAAGAATGGGTGAGATAGGGTGGTATGGGGAAGAATGGGTGAGATAGGATGGTATGGGAAAGAATGGGTGAGATAGGGTGGTCTGGGGAAGAATGGTTGAGATAGGGTGGTATGGGGAAGAATGGGTGAGATAGGGAGGTATGGGGAAGAATGGGTGAGATATGGTGGTATGTGGAAGAATGGGTGAGAAAGGGAGGCATGGGGAAGAATGGGTGAGATAGGGTGGTATGGGGAAGAATGGGTGAGATAGGGTGGTATGTGGAAGAATGGGTGAGTAAGGGAGGTATGGGGAAGAATGGTTGAGATAGGGTGGTATAGCGAAGAATGGGTGAGATGAGATAGGGTGGTATGGTGAAGAATGGGTGAGATAGGGTGGTATGTGGAAGAATGGGTGAGATAGGGTGGTATGTGGAAGAATGGGTAAGATAGGGTGGTATGGGGAAGAATGGGTGAGACAGGGAGGTATGGGGAAGAAGGGGTGAGATAGGGTGGGATGGGGAAGAATGGGTGAGATAGGGAGGTATGGGGAAGAATGGGTGAGATAGGGTGGTATGTGGAAGAATGGGTGAGATAGGGTGGTAGGGGGAAGAATGGGTGAGATTGGGTGGTATGGGGAAGAATGGGTGAGATAGGGTGGTATGGGGAAGAATGGGTGAGATGAGATAGGGTGGTATGGCGAAGAATGGGTGAGATGAGATAGGGTGGTATGGCGAAGAATGGGTGAGATAGGGTGGTACGGGGAAGAATGGTTGAGATAGGGTGGTATGGGGAAGAATGCGTGAGATAGGGAGGTATGGGGAAGAATGGGTGAGGTAGGGTGGTATGTGGAAGAATGGGTGAGATAGGGTGGTATGGGGAAGAATGGGTGAGATAGGATGGTATGGGGAAGAATGGGTGAGATAGGGTGGTATGGGGAAGAATGGTTGAGATAGGGTGGTATGGGGAAGAATGGTTGAGATAGGGTGGTATGGGGAAGCATGGGTGAGATAGGGAGGTATGGGGAAGAATGGGTGAGATAGGGTGGTATGGGGAAGAATGGGTGAGATAGGGAGGTATGGGGAAGAATGGGTGAGATAGGGTGGTATGGGGAAGAATGGGTGAGATAGGGAGGTATGGGGAAGAATGGGTGAGATAGGGTGGTATGTGGAAGAATGGGTGAGATAGAGAGGTATGGGGAAGAATGGGTGAGATAGGGTGGTATGGGGAAGAATGGGTAAGATAGGGAGGTATGGGGAAGAATGGTTGAGATAGGGTGGTATGGGGAAGAATGGGTGAGATAGGGTGGTATGGGGAAGAATGGGTGAGATAGGGAGGTATGGGGAAGAATGGGTGAGATAGGGTGGTATGGGG